GCACATCGTGATGATGGATACGTCCCGAACGACATCCTCTAAAACGATCAAATAAATAACATCAATAATAATAATAACAATAATAAAATTAACAATATTAATAAATAAAAATAACAATAAAAAATAACAAAACACTAAAAAAAACAAAAGCAATAACAACCAAACAAACAAAACTAACGCAGACACGATGTGCTGTCTCCACGCCAAGCACCCCACCCGATTTATCTGCGTGTGCATCGTTCTTAACGCTGTTCGACGTCGACTTGGGTCAAATAACTGCAAATTTTACATGCAAATTTCTAATTTACAAAATTTTCAGTCAAATTTTTTCCACCAAAAAAAATGAAAACGATTAATTTCTCGAATATTCTGAGAAACTGAAATGGAAAATGGAAAATTTTTCCAAAAATAAACCGCCGAATCAATGAAAACAAAGTGATGACTAACGCGAATCTGCCCATCCGAAAGGCCAACCGCCAAAAACGAGCCCTCACCCGACCACCGTACCGACGTTATGAACACTCCCCGCTCTTCGGGTAACTCGAAAAGATTCTGAAAAAAAAATTTTAAAGGTCTTTAAATCTTTTCCCGATGAATACTTCTAGAAAGTTCGTTCGAGTATATTTTTCATAAAAATGAAAAAAATTTTAAAAATTCCAAAAATTTTAAAAATGAAAAAAAGTGGAAATCAGCTCACATCAATCTCGCCCGATCCAGCGTTCCATAAATACAACGAATACGTCAACGCCACCGCGATCACGTTGTTATTTCCCCAGTCGATTATATTCAAATCTCAAAAAAAATAATAATAGCAATAATAGTTATTATTAATAACAATAACTATAATAATAATTAACGCAAGCCCCGCCCACTACCGCCACGCACGCACGCGTGCACGTTCGCCTTCTATCACTACCGCGCTAACGCCAACACCAACGTACGACACCTCTTCTCTAACTTCACTGTTATCATTCTTATCACTAATACTTCTTATCGTCCTTATCATTTATCCCTATTATCATTCTCACCACTATCATTATCACTTATCACTCTCTCCACTAACATTATCACTTATCACTCTCACCACTAGCATTATCACTTATCACTCTTACCACTATCATTCTTACCACCATCGTTATCATTCATATCACTTATCACTACCATTCTTATCACCATCGTTATCATTCATGCCACTTATCACTCTCACCGCTATCATTATCACTTATCATTCTTATCATCACCGTTATCATTCTTATCACCGATCAATACGAATGCACCGATGACTACTCACAGTAATCGTCCATGTAATTGGGTGCGTCGAGAATCCTCTCGGCCTGTGTCGGAATGTGTCTGATGCCCTTTCGACAGCTCGCCGACGGGTTCGGCAGAGTGTTCGTGTAGAGCACTCGCGGTTGGTTCATGTGCCCGAACGGTGCCGCGGGCGCTTGTCCTTTCTTATAGCACAGAATGCGCTCGTCTTGCTGATCGCTCAGCTCTCCTGCCGATTTCGCTGAAATTTAACACGCTACAATTATCACCATCGTTATCACCTTATCACTTATCAGTGATATCATCCTCAATTCTTATCACTCTTAGCTGAGTCATCATTCTTATTAGGATCATTTATCAGTAGCATTATTATCTCTTATCATTATCATTCTAATCAACAATATCATTCTTATTGCTTATCAGTACCATTAGTACTTATCAATGGCACTGTTATCACTTATCACTACCATTCTTATCGCTTATCAGTACATTGTTATCACTTATCACTACCACTGTTATCACTGAATATCACTCTTATCACTTATCACTACCATTCTTATCACTTACATATCACTACCATTATTATCACTTATTATCACCTTATCACCTATGAATATCACAACGAAACCCTATCAAGCAACCAACAACAAAACAACGAATAATAACAAAATACCCCTCATCAACTGCATTTTCATCTCACGCTCAGCTTTCGATGGGCTGTTCGGTGCTGACGACGATAAATTCAACAGTGATTCACCCTGTAAATTATCAAATTGCCAACTTATTTCACTAATAATAACAATAATAATAACAACAACAACAACAATAATAATAATAACAGATAATTACATATAAACCAAGTCACATCCTCACAACTCCTTCCCCGGGAAAAACTCTCCCCGCAATGTTCCAACTCAATGGAGCCATAAGTTACCCGTGACTGTACCGATGCCCACAATCACAATAAATAATAAGCCCAACGAATAATGACATAAGCAATAGCTATCAATGAATAATATCGATAACGATATTCACATTAAATCACATCCCAATCGCATTCCCCTGGGCATTATAGTAATCTCTGACCTATTAATTGACCTCTGACCTCTACAACAAGGCATTCGGTATAATCACTAAGCCAAGCGCTCTCTCTCTCTTTCTTCCGCCCCGCCCTGTCTCATCTCGTGAAAGGACAGACGAAAAAGCATACAATAGAGAAAACGATTAGCGAGAGAGGCAGACAGCGAAAGATGAACGAAAGACGCGTCTTCACCAAGGGATTTGAATTTTTCAATTGGCAAATAACCAAGGTTTATTTTGATCCACGAATGACGTCATAATTGTGGCGATTTGCCAAAAAAAATCCATCAGATTGAAAACTTCGTAATCATATTGTGTAGCGGTGTTGCCCGACAATGACTACCCATGAACCCATTACAGTATGTTACCATCGATCGCGGGAAGAAAATGTTTCCCGTTTTGTTTTTTGGAGGGAACACCAACCCGTGGGAACCATCTCAACGGATCGATATTCCCCGTGGGAAATTCTATTTTCGGGTAACTCCGGGGATCCCCTCAACACAAGACGTTCGAATGTTGAGATGGGTAATGGGCCATGAGCATCATTGTCAATCACCGCTGTACACACAATCAAACCTTTTACTCTATCATCATTTGGATTTTGGCAAATCGCCTCGCCCACAAATAATTTGGCGAAACGTCCCCCCCCCTCTCCGAGTCACGCCCAAATGATCTCATTTGATTTCATCCGCCCATCCAATCACAGTAGTAATAATAAACAATAAATAAACAAACAAAAACAATAACAAAACAACAAAAAAGGAATCCAAACCTGTGAATTATGATTCATCAGGCAGTGGTTGGCGTACTCAAACTGGGTGGCACTTCGGTTGGGCACAAAGCGGTCGCCCTCGCCGAGCCCGCTGAAGTTCGGATTTCGTGACGGTGTCACGTCGCGCTTCTTGAGACCGCCTTTCGAGCGATGGTACGACTTTGCAGCGTTATTATTATTATTGTTGTTGTTGGTGCTATTGCCATTCTTATTGCTCGTGCTCACATTCAACTGTGACGTTCTCTGGCCAAATGAACGATTCGCACTGAAATTCCATCGGATCAAGTGAAAAATCACGGTGAAATTTCTCCCGCAGAAAGCTGACAACGAGGGGGAGAGGTCTAGGTCACGTGGGGTCACGTCACACGTAAGGTCACATCACGTAAGGTCACGTACGTAAGGTGACGTGACCTCACGTGACCCCGTTGCCTTACTAAGCCCTTCAACACCCTCGTCTTCAACATTCAATAAAATTAAACGAATAGAAACAACTCCAAAAATATTTCCCCATCAACTGGTCAATCCCAAAACTATTCCGATTGTCTCCTCAATGTTTCACGGCTCCTACAGACCTCCGAAAACCCGCTTTCGAGACGACGACACCAACTGCCCGGCTACCAAAGCATCCCGCACAGTCAAAGGTCAACGTACAAAGTACAACGATCAAAGATCAAAGTTCACTCACCGCAACGCACTGTTCGGTGTCTTATTCGCCGTCGTATACGAAACCGAAACCTCAGACATCTGGTAACATAAGTCTCGTATCGGTGTCTGATTGGTACTATCTCGAAATGCCATTTTTGTCTGCTTCTTTTCCACTCTCTCTTTTCACGTTGATCTTTTCTCTCGGATTTTTTTGTTTCCTTCTTTACGGTCTCTCCTTCCCCAGGTTGATTCACTCGGGTAAATTTAAAAATTCAGAGGCAGAGACAGAGAGAGAGTATCAAATGAATAAATATTTACAGTAATGAATTCAGTAACAATAAACAACAATAGTAGCTTCAAATCGACGGGACTAATTTTTTCCGCGTATCCAAAATCCTCCGGTCTTGACCAAGTATTACTCTCCTGGCTGTTAATATTATGTGTCGAGTGAGTAAGGTGAGCGAATGTTACTGTAGCCTGAATTACACAGTACAATTACAGTAACTTCAATACAAATTATTACTATTATTACTCGGACATCGGGTGGTTGTTTTATTAATCGCTGTGAGCAATCGACGGAATACTTATATTACTAGAGTTATGATTATTTATTGGATTGATGGCATTTGGCTACGACGATTAATTAAGCAAAGTATTCACGGCAACTAATTAATTACTCGGTTGTGTTCGTTCGGTTGGCCTGCTCGCCAGCCGGGTGACGGCGTGAATTGAGACTAAAACAATGCGCACAAAACGCGAGCATTGTGGCCGGCACCGTTACAAACGTTTGATAGCCGGCTTGCCAATCCAGGTAACAATACAAACAATAATAGCAGATATAGTGACAAATATGACAACAGCAATAATAATAATAATAATAATAACAATAATAATAATGACAAAATCAATAACAACAATAATAATGTAATAAATAACTCGCAGTCAAAACATTCACGCAAGACCATCTAGCTATAAGCAGTAATCTAACAATAAGCACACATACGCAGTGGCGCCCTTTATCAGCATAAGTGCCCAGAATCTAAATGGGATTGAGGTACCCGTCGAATACATTTCATAAAAAAGAGCACATTTCAATGATTTCATAAAAAAACAAGAAAAACACCGTCTCCAACACCGAAAATAATGCCTATCGAAGGGTGGGTGAGTACCCACAACGTCGACGCTAAAACTGTAATCCACTGGAAAATGAGCAAATTGAGACAAAATCAAATTAGCGCAACTCGCCGAAGCTTCTTCAAATTATGCCCTTCAAGACGACCTCTAAACTGACAGATTTCCAGAAATCTGATTCAGAATGCGGTACTTTTCTACTCGTTAAGCTGTTAAAATTTCAGGTCTCAACCTGAATTACGACAACATTTGCGCAAGTACCACAATATTTCGACCGCAATCCGCGATGAAATCCTAAAATTCAGGCGAAAAAAATTCAAAAACACCAAATGAAACAAAAACCCCAAAAGCAACGCCAAACTACGGCCACTAAAATGAAAGCCGCCAAACAAATTTCAAACGTCCGAAAATTCGTACCCAATTCAGCAGTTTGTTCACAACAAAAAATCACCAACCCATTTTCGTTTCAAGAACCCGAATTTAAATCTCTTACAACTCTATAATGCAGCACCATTCCCGGCGGAATATTCCCCACCATCACACAGATTTATTTCTAGGGGAAATTTTTTCATTTCCCATGAAATTCACAAAAAATTTCCCACTTCAAAAAATCGGAATATTAATTCCCAAATAAATCAGATGAAAAGAATACAATTTCAATGTAAACGTAACATTCAACGTTAATATAATAAATAATTCAACTCGAAATGATAAAACTTTAAAACGACGAATAAAATTTGAATGAAAATACTTTTAACAAATATTTATTATTATTATTATTATTATTATCATTATTACTATTATTATTATTATTATTATTATTATTACTATTATTATTACTATTATCATTATTACTATTACTACTATTATTACTATTACTATTCACTCGAGAGCGCTTCCGTATCGCGCTTCCAACACTGCAGCAGATATATTCCCGTTCCGTTCCACTCAAAATATTCTATTTCCCTATTCTATACCAACGAATTCCATAGAACCACCCCAAAACACCCACACAATCGAACACAACAAACCAATTTGCCCAAAGAAACCCCAAAAACACAGCTTTTTTTACCTTAAAGTGCAAACAACCAAAACTACATCATCGTAGACCATTTTCATCCATCATACATTATTTTCAAATGATAAACATTTGAAATGAATTGAACAACGAGCTTGTTTCGCCGGAGAGAGAACCTGTTTCTTAAGATATTCGATGCGACACTTCAGCCTTCAGCTTGCCCTCTTGGTGTTTGTTGAGCTTCAGATGAGACCAAAACCGACGCCTAAGTCCCATCTGAGCTTCAGATGAGACCAAAACCGGCGCGTAAGCCCTATCTTGAGCTTCAGATGAAACCAAAACCGAAAGCTGAGCCCCATCTGAGCTTCAGATGAGACCAAAACCGACGCGTAAACCCCATCCTGAGCTTCAGATGAGACCAAACCGAAAGCTAAGCCCCATCTGAGCTTCAGATGAGACCAAAACCGAAAGCTAAGCCCCATCCTGAGCCTAAGCCTGAACGTGAGCTTGAGCTTGAGACTACTCAATGTGGACGCATCAGAATTTTAAGTGGCTCATCCGGAAGAACCTCTAGTTGCCGGCTAGTTTTTCGAGGTACCCACCCGGTCTCCTTCAACTGAACTAGTGAGTTTTACATCTAATACTCAGACTGCTCACCCAGAACGTGTTCCAGTCCCGTCACTACGTTTGACCATAGCCGAAGTGGATGAAACAAACAAGGTCATTTTTCATCGAAAAAGACAACGAGAAAACTGGAGAGGCAGATGGAGAAGCAGCGCGAAAGACAGCCAAGAAGCGAGAGAGGCAAAGAGCGAAAGAAAAAGGTGAAAGTGAGATGGAGAGAGAATGACGGTAATTACGATAGTTCAATTTGTTTCAAATTTATTCTCAGTTAATTGATTGTCGCAGTGTTCTTGAAAGTACTGCTACGATTTTTAAACATCACTTGCCTCGGCTTACGTACATTTATTTGGAATTTGCTTCGGTTTACGTATATTCATATGGAAATTGCCTCAGTTTACGTATATCCATTCGGAATCCGCCTCAGTTTACGTATATCCATTCGGAATCCGCCTCAGTTTACGTATATCCATTCGGAATCCGCCTCAGTTTACGTACAACCACCTGGAATCTGCTTTGATTTACGCTGTCATCCAATCAATCTTATTTTCAGTGAACATTTACGATTGGTGATCATTTGTGTGTGTGCTTATTATTCGTTGCCAAAGCTCGCATGTTACAGGTCAAAGGTCAAAGGTGAAAGGTCATTAGGTTGAGCGATCTTCAGCGAAAAAAAGGTCAAGTGGTTCGACACCGAATCAAAGACGACGACAAAAACAGCAACGAACATCTATCATTGGCCATCGCCCCAATGGCGACCGTTTTGGAGAAATTGAATGTCGCGTTCGGGAAAGCGCTGAAAAA